GTATCTTATATATTATTATAATTATTATTGCTGTTGGTAACAATAACAATGAATACATTAATATTCCCTATTATTATAATAATAATGTCATCAACAGAAATAAAAATAGCAATAATAATAGCAATTAATAATAATACAAATAATAATTATTAGTATTATTAATATTGTTGTTGTTGTTATCCTGATCCTTCCATGGGGGACACTTGTTATGGGGACAGCTGTCTAAGTGGGGAAGTCCCCTCACTTTGTAGAAAATGTACAGGGTGATTCACAAAAAGGGTGAAGAGTTTGGAGAAGGCAGGAGAAGTGAACAATCTAGGACAAAATAGCTGAAATGGAAAAATTCTCCAATTCAGCTCACTTTCCAGTTCAGCTATGTTGTGTTTTGATTGTTCTCTTCACCCTTTAGTGAATAGCCCTGTAACTTTCACTTCCGCTCCCTCTCCATGAAAGGAAGTAAAGGTAAATCTCCACAACAGTACACGGAAAAAAGAAAAACAAAACTAACAGGCTTTTAACTTTTCGCTATACTATCCAAAGTTTCAGCTGCGGTACAGGGGTATGACATACATGACACAAGGACACGTTGGTTTCACTTACAGCATCTTGTTTGGAAATACTGGAAAAAAATATTTATATTTTTTTTACTTTGAAAGTGAAAGCGGGAGGCCCGATGGAGCGGCAAAGGCAGACGGACGAGCGGGAGGGGGTTGCGCCGGTCGCCAGCAGTGAAGCGGCAGTGAACATGGCCGCGAGAACCCAGCAGCAGCCGTCCTGATAGTACAGTGAGCCCCGTCTGGATGTTCCCGGCCGCTGTCCCTCACGGTATTATTATTTTTTTTTTTACAGCCTGCTCGAGTTTCCTTCAGCTGAGAGGACCGTGACATGTGAGGTAAGTGCTTTCTATTATAGAACATGGAACAGAACATGGCTGAATTTGGAACTGACCATATTCTATGCCATGTTCTATAATGACATTGTATTACTAGAAAACTACAAGTCAGCAGTTCAGCTGGGACATGTAGTTCCCTGTATGATAGAAGGCTGTTTTAATTACTGTCCTCATGAAAGTACTAGTAATACAATGTACAATCTATTAAAGAGCTGGATTTGAGGTTGCGAGGTTACTATGAGTAGCAGAAGCAAGCAAAAAAATCCCCAATTCACTGACATTAATAACTTTCTATTTTAACAACAGAGCTCGAGATAATCAAGCATTCTTATCGTGTGTGTGAGCTGCATTCCTCTTGGCATGTCAGTGTGACCAGTCCAGTTCAAAAGTCAGAGAGTCAGAGCAGCTGAGGTCAAACACCTCAAACTCATCAACCAAACGTGAATGTTGGAGCATATCCATGATTTTTTTTTTTTTTTAATTTTGAATAGTCCATCCATGCCTCATTGGGGAAAGTTACTTTTACTTCTGGTCCTATATGGCTCTATAGATCAGGAAGTGAGAAGAAATCTCTCCAATGTAAAGGAAAATACCCTCTAAGATAGTTGTCATCAAAATAAAAGTCTGTATTAAAAGATTTCCCCTTCTATTCTTGTTCTGGTGACACTGACTACTCATCATTTTTGATTTTCCATGACTTTCGGTCCTTGTGTCAATAGTCAGTGTGGACACAGATAGCAATAAATACCTGAGAAATTGTCTAAGCCTTCAAACTATATAACACATTATCAGGGCTATTCACAAAAGGGTGAAGAGTTTGGAGAAGGCAGGAGAAGTGAACAATCTAGGACAAAATAGCTGAACTGGAAAGTGAGCTGTATTGGAGAATTTTTCCGAATCAGCTAAGTTGTCCTAGATTGTTCACTTCTCCTGCCTTCTCCAAACTCTTCACCCTTTTGTGAATAGCCCTGTATGTCTGTAGATACATCTTAAGGGTCCGTTCACACCACAAACAGTGGGTTCCAGAGTGGTCAGGCTCTGGAACGCACTGTATCGCTCTCCAGCCATCTCCCTGCGTTCAGGGGTGGGATGGGGCGTGGTGGTTAGGGTTGCCACCTGTCCAGGATTCACGTGGACAGTCCAGGTTTCGAATGCTGTGTCCGGGTTTCATGGCAGCAGAAACCTGGACACAAGATATCAGGCAGACAGGGGCGACCAAAATTAAGATAGGGGCTACAGGCCCCCCACTGAAAATAGTCTCAGAGGTGGCAACCCTAGTGGCGGTGCATTGAAGTCAATGGCACTGCAGCCATACCCCCCCTCCGTCCACCAATAGTGCCTGTGTTCTGGTTCAGTGCGATCTGCAAAAATAGTGCTTGCAACATTTTTGCAGATCGCACTGGACCGGAACGCAAGCGCTAATATGCCACGCATTTGGGCATGGGCAATCGCACTGCCGGCGGGGGGGGGCGTGGCTGCGGGGCCATTGACTTCAATGCACCGCCACACCCCCTCCCACCCCTGAAGGCAGGGAGCCAACCAGAGTGCAATGCAGTGCGTTCCAGAGCCTGACTGCTCTGGAACGCACTGTTTGTGGTTTGAACCGGCCCTAAAAGTGGAACTAATGGCCACAAATACTCATCACTTCTAGGAATGTGACATCTGCGAGCTCCCCTGCTGGCGCCAACACCTTCAACAACCGTCCTTCTTCCGCTTCTGCAATCTTCAGCCATCTTGATCGGTTGTCACAAGATGATGTAACTTCTCTGCACAGGATATAACGCATCATGGCACCTGGCAGAGGCACAGGATTGAGCTTACAAAGCTTAGTGCAGGGGTGGGCAACTACAACTCTCCAACTGTGCTTTAACTACAGTGTGCTTCTGCCTGCACCTGTCAGTCTTGCAATGCCTCATGGACTTGTAGTTCCACACAGAGGCATCCCCAGGCAGGGTGTCACCTGCTGGAACGCCATCACGCATGCGTGACGTCATTGCGCGCATGTGTGACAACTTCACGCACGTGGCAACGCCATCACGACCGCAAGTAATTATGTCATGCACAGTTAACATAGGAGGGGGCGTTTATCCGTTGGATAAGGTATGCTGCTGGGTCCACCTGCATGCGAGTGGACGCGTGCACCCGCATGCAGACACCGTGGGAAAGAAAGTGCCAGCAAGGACAGAGGAGTCAGTGCTGGTTCGGAGACCCGCAGCAATGCTGGAAGGACAGATGAAAAGGACAGGAAAGAACATCCGATTTAAGAAACATCATTTCAGGTAAGTGCTTTAATTAACATTGGAGGGATAAAAAAATATCTTTTGACTTTAATGTCACTTTAACTATTAACATTATTAACTAATCTTATTTGTGTATCACTCAGGTGTAGATCCCCAAATCATCTCTGAATTGGTGCTGACTAGGGATGTTTAGATACCAAGTACCATACTCAATACAAGTACAGATACTCTTCCAGCTCCAAGACTAGACTAGAGGAAAAACTCCAAAGTTAGGAGGCAGCTGGAGTATACGGGATGAAAACCTTGGATGAAAACCAATCTACAGAGCCGGAGAGCCATTCCACCTACTGTACATTCATTTCAAGGCTTATTTTTAGTTTTGATTACCAGGGACTTTTTTTTCTTATTGTTAACAACTTTTACAGTACACCTTTTTAAAGGGACCCTTCCCTCATTCTATGCAGGCATTGTCACTTAAAAGGTATCTATGGTCAAAAACTAAATCTGTATTTTTATATTGCATTTCCATAAGTTCTATCCCACTCCTAATAACCATATTGATCTCGGAGTTTGTAAACTTATTGACGATGCCCATAGGACGTTCTTTCTCAATGCACTGACACAATTTCACTCTGCCCTGAGAATATGCAGTTCCTTGTGCCTGCCGGCCGAACTACAACAATATAACATTATCATTGCTTGCTGGAAGCTTGTGCATTATGGCCATGTAGTCTTGAGAATTCGAGTATGCAAATCATCAAGCATCAGGGAAAGAGATGCAAAGCACACTGGGAGTCCAGGAAGTTGTTGAAATTGATGGGTAGACAGAAGGCATCACTCACTACATAAAAGGGATTTTTTTCAAGTAAGCTTTGATTGCATTATCAAAAACAACTCTAGTATGTATTCCTATTACAATGCTGATATTATAACAGGATGGTACATGCTGGGACTTCACAACTCCTTTTAATCCCCCTCCCGCTCCATTTTTCTGACAGAGCAAAGTGAAATACCTGGCACTTCTATGTATAAGTGAGCATGTTACTCACTACATGTCCCCCATTTGACAGTTCTAGGTGCCTTATAATTGCCACAATGCTGTCATATGTGGAGAAGGAGTCCATTGCCCCGTGTAAGTCTTGTCAAGCTGGATTGGGGTTGCTCAGTACTTCTATCCCCAGCCCTGATGGATGAATAGAGTTTTGCAGAAGCGAGGAAATGTTTATGCTGCTGGGGGAGAGCTAAGTGACCTCCTTACTTTGCTCTGCATGGATAAAGGAAAGGGTCACTTTAATTAAGATGGTGCCACATTCATCATACAAGGGCATGTAAGACCCGATTGAGGAAAGATGAGGGTCAGTGTTGGCAGGCCTTT